GATCATTTTTGATACCCACAGAATAAACTTATTGTATCTTTCACTATATATAAAAATCAACCCAAAGTGTTATAAGCACTTAATAAGCCTCAGACCCAAACTACAGAACTACTAGAAGAAAACAAAAGGAAATGCTGTGTAAAATTTGTCTGGTTTCATGCATGATGCTCAAAATACTAAGAACAAAAGAAATACAAAACAAAGAAATGGTATTGCACGAAACTAAAAACTTTCACACAGCAATGGAACAATTAATAAAGTATGGATACAATCTATGGATTAAGAGGAAACATTTGCAAACTGAATTTTTGTTGACAGGTAAATATCTCAAACATGTAAGGAACACAATCAATTAAGTAACTGGCGAACAAATGATCCAATAAACAATGGACAAAAGACTTAAATACCAATGTGTATCAAGTATAAGAAAGTGTTCACCTCAGATCATTGAGGGAACAGAAATTAAACCACAATGAGTTAATAAGTCACGCAATAATAACTGCTAAAATGACTAGGATAAGCTGGAGGAGAGCAGAGAAGAGGGAGCTCTTATGTGTTGTTGGTGGGAATGTAAGTGAGTACAATAATTACTGACAACAGTGTAGAAGTTCTTCAGAAAACTGAAAATAGAATTAGCATATGATATAACAAGGCTACTGCTGGGCACATACCCAAAGGAATTCCAAATCAATATGTTAAAGAAATGTCTCTATTCTGATATTCACTGAAACATTGTCTATAATAGCTAAAAAGTAGAATTGACCTAGGTGTGGTCATCAGTTAAATGGATAAAGAGGTATGCCTCATATTACATATTTGGCTTTTAGAAGGTGAGATACTGTACTAGCATCTAGGGACATAAACGGCCTGAGTTCAAGCCCTGGAGCCCATGTTAAAAGGTTGGAGAAAGCAGCTGGAAGAATAGGGTGGGGAGTGAATATGGCTAAAATACAGTGTATGAAAACTTCAAAGAAGTAATAAAAACTGCTTCAAAACAAAACAACATAGATAGTAGTAAGCACCTGCTATCTATCACTGGAGGTCAGCAAGCCTACTCTGAATGATGAGTTCCAGGTCGGTGACAAACAAAATGGAATACACGCAAAGAAGGTACCTGAGCCTGATCCCAGACCTCCATATATTCACGCACACATGTGCACATGTACTCCCACACGTGCATGCGCCTGTGTGCACACACGGGGGAACAAAAGAGAGACTGAATTCACGGCAATGGTGATGCAAGTGCTTATGCAAAGTAAACTGAGTGAGTCAGAGAGAGACACGTATATGATCTCATCTGTATGGAATTTAAATAATTGAGCTTTTGTGCATAGAGAGCAGAATGATAGGCACAGAAACGGGGAGAAGAGGTGGATGCAGAGGATAGAGAAATTGATCTAAGGGTACAAAGTTTCAGTGAGCCAAGAGAACTAAACCTGGGTGGTCTATTGCATAGATTGCTTAGTGCACTAAACGACAATGCAATGCATTCTACGAAAGGTGAAAATGGAGCAACGTTTAAGTCTTTTTCTAACTATACAGGAAGTGATTCACATGTGAGGTAATAAACCTACTAGGTATCCTCAATTAATTGATCATTCTGAGTTGTAAATATATAACAAAGTAACACACTGTGAATCATAAGCCTGCAAGTCCTATCTATCCATTAACAGACAAAGAATCAACACACGGAATTAATTATAGATCATGTAGTTGTTAAGTCAAACAAACAAGAAGACTTGATGGAGAGCATGATGCTGGTGGGGGTGTCCTCAGTCAGGGTGCTTTGAACGTGCTGTCTTTGAGTTGAAACTTGAATAAAGACAAGTCAGCATTTTGGAAAGCTACATGAGGTGTTGCTCACACTGTGGCTCCAGCAGGGATGAAAGAACTTGAGGACATAGATGGGCTTCAAGTCTGGAGCAGAGGACCTGAAATGTGAGCAAGGTGTCAGAAGCACCTAAAGGGCCTGTTACAACTCAGATTCCTTATCGAACTCCCAGGCGGTAGGGCTACATGGGGCTTGAAATTGTGCTTGGCTCACAGCCTTCGAATGATGCCCCTGTCGTGGGCATGGTAACAACACTCTGAGCAGCACAGTGTCAGAGAGAAGGGAACGATGCTGGTGCACAGTGAGCTGGGGACAGTTGGTAGGAAATGACACAGGGATGGGAGGCAGGAGCCTTCTGGCCACAACCTTGGAAAGGGGTCCATGTTTGGTTTCAGACTGATGTGCAGTCATTAAGCATTCAGCTGGAAGATGATAATGCAGTCAGTCGTTGAGTGCTGTCTGCATGTGTTTACCCTTATGGTATGAGGCACAGCTTAAAAGAATTTGGAAATGACCTGTACTTCCTTCTCTGTTTGATTCCTGACCAACCTTTAGCGGATGTTAAAGATTTACTTCTGCTCTCTTTGTAGACAAATGACACAACTTCTCACTCGTGGTTTAAAAGTATGAGACAAAGGAAAATTAAAGATCGAACAGTTCATATCAGCTTGTCATATATTGAAACAACTTCCTCTAAGTGCGTGTAGTCCGAGTGCCAAAAGGAACCACCTGAAGCATAATACATGACTTCTAAAAAGCATGCCACAATCAATCTTTTGATAGCAAATAAATAAAACAAAAACATGAAAAATTAAAGGAAGATGTTATACTGCACAATAGAATGTTAAATTGGACATTATCACATGCAAAAATTAGTGATGCAGATAAGTGCTGTAACCACTAAGAATACCAAGAATCCTGCTTGGAGTTAACAGAGAATGTTTCATCTCGAGGAGGCATGCATGCTGGTCCTTAAAAATGTTTAAAATATGGCAGTTAGAGGGGAGGAGAACGGCTTTTCTGTAGATTCAGTAACCATGCAAAGAATTACTGTGTTTGCTTGAAGTTTTCGGCTTTCAAGGGAAAGTCTTCCATGTGTTTCTGATTCTTGAGCACAGTTGAATTACTAGTCCATTGTCTGGTGAGGGCTGTTTGGCTGGGGAGCCCTGTGGACTTCCCAGAAGCTTTTATCCTTTGAAAGAAGCTGTCCTGATTTGCCATTGTTAATGAAACTCGCAGGACACAATGTTCAAGTGTAAGACCCACTGAGAACATGACCGTGTTCCTCCTTTCATCTCTGCATGGTGGAACAACATGGCAAAGAGGAGCTGCAGAAACCCAGCAGAGGGGCTGGTCCCCCGATGTTAGTAATTGTCTTGAACTTTCTTATGTCATCTCCTAATAGCTTTGTCTCAAGAGTGATGGCCTGTACTGCTTTTACTCTTCATGAATAAATACAAAATGTCTTGCCACCTAGAAGGTGGACCGTCTCTAGTCCTTTATCTCTGTTGAGCACACATCCTTAAAATCCTGCAGACTTCCATTTAGCATTCTGTGCCTCTGTGAAGTTTAGCTTGGGAAATTCAGTCGGAGGTAGTCATTGCAATAGACCTGTCTTCTTCACTCTGATGAGTGCTTTTGTGCCTTTGTTCCTGATGGTGGCATTTGTTGAGCCAAAGGTCCCATACCCTTTGCTGTGGATCATGGGGAATCTGGAGTTAGCCTGCACATTGCACTGTTTCCTCTTAGCTCACCTATTTCTATTGATATTTACCCCAAGGTTAAAGTATAAGTTAGGACTAAAAAGAGAATGGGTGAAGATTGATGCCAGGCTGACCCCCCCCCAAAATCATTTTAATAGTTGTCTGTATGAATGAAATTGTAGAACTTGTTTTATTTTTCTATTCCTATCAGGAAACTGTAAAAATTCATAGAACGCCTTGTGAGTACATATTCTCACTTAGAAATTATGTAATGTACCATTATATTTACATATAATTAGGTAAAGACACATAAAAATAGAAATAACAAGAGAAAGAAAATGATCCCAGCTTTTAATACTTTCTCCTTATAACAAAATAATTCTCTCATATGTTCTGCTGTAGAAATGCCCCAGGAGAGGACATACCCTATCCTGTATGTTGAATCTTAAGTACCAGTATAGTGTAGTGCAGTGGTTCACAAACTGCAGCCTTCACTGAAATTTCTGAAGGTTGGGAAGATAGATGTCTGTCTCTCTTGAACTTTCCAGTTCAGGGTAGGCCCCAAGAATTTGCATTTTTCTCAAATCCCAGGCAACTCTGGGAAGTTCTGATAAAGTCGTTAATCTTTCTAAAGAAGCATTAATATTCTTTCTTTTTCTTTTTCTTTTTTCTTTTCTTCTCTCTCTCTCTGTCTTTTTCCTTTTTTTTCAAGACAAGATTTCTCTTTGTAACAGTCCTAGGTGTCCTGGAACTAGCTCTTGTAAACCAAGTTGGCCTCAAACTCACAGAGATCCTCCTGCCTCTGTCTCTCACGTGCACCACCACCGCCCTGTGGCATTAACATTCTTGAGGAAATATGGGACCTTAGGTAAATTGGTTTAGCACTTTAAATCTATGGAATGGAGTTTGTCATAATTAGCTATTTGAGATGCTGGGGGACTTAATAACATGATTTATGTGAAATTACTTAGCACCTACAGAATACAGCACATTTGAGTTCATTTTCCCTCCTTATCCTCCTTTCTACTTATCACCATTCTAGCATCACAAAATAGACTTAAGATCTTCTGATTTCAGAATAAAAAATGTGTTTTATTTCAATAGAATTATGAGAATACATTTTTATACTTTAGCATTGTTCAATAACAAATCCCTGTCCCAAAGATCTATCTTTCTAGTTGAATGATAGAACATTAAACTTTAATGCAAAGTCTACCTAAAGGAGAACATGTGTTCAGCCCTCTCCCTTTTCTGTGTAATTGTTGATAGTTTGTGGCCAGTATGTATTTTTGTCATACTTTGTATATACTGAATCCTGTTGCATGTAATTGGGTTGATATTTTTGATGGTTGTGTTTTTGAATGTTTGGGGCATGATGGTGGTAGATTTAGGTGATGCCTTAGCTGACTGATTTTTAATGTTTCTTCTATTTCTCCCCACCCACACCCATTTTTGTACACTACCAGGACCCAGTACAACGTGTCAGGAGGATTCATGTGCCAACCAAGGAGTTTGCATGCAGCAATGGGAAGGCTTCACCTGTGACTGCTCGATGACATCATATTCGGGAAACCAGTGCAATGACCGTGAGTTCACACTTTTCCTACTGGCTCAGAGAAATCTTAATGGGCACTATAGAAAAAGATTGCACGTATAACTGTCCTTTATATAAATGCTCCTAATTTGTAAGTATGGAACACACACACATACACACACACACACACACACACACACACACACACACAGAGTGTATTTAGTTCATGTTGGGCTAGATCCTATGATTACTATTTCATCCATCAGTGGTGTAACCGGTACAATAACTGACTTAGTTCTAAGAAAGGGCAGGTTTCATGGAGGTGACCCAGTGCTTCTGTTGAATATGTGTTAGTGTCATGGGCATCTTAACTTGTGGCTCCACCTCCTTCTCATGGTATTTTCCTAGCCATGACCATTTTCAAAAAAGTCAAATTCTTGAGACTTGTTGAAAGGACTTGCCTTAGATGACCCTTTTGACTCTCTGATTTTCCTGAGCACAATCCTCATGGTAGACATGAACAACATGATCTAAATTCACTGGAATGTTTGGTTTTATAAAACAAGTACAGGAGATTAATAGGTTGAAGAGTGAAGCTATATTGAAGAGTACACACAAGGGAGCCCATTATAACTATATATACACGTATAAAATCCATTGTGGCTACTTAGTGTTTCTTGATTCCTTGTTTATCAACTTTTACCATAAGCGTTGGTATCTCTTGAAGTTTCCACTTCCAGTTTCTCAGAAGCCTTGCGATCCACGGGTATTCTGGAGTCTGGTTTGTTAAAGGGGAACAAATGAGAAGCTGGCAATCTAGAGGAAAACATTATGTTCTAGGATGGCTGCAGAAGGGCTAGGCATCAATCGCTTTTGCTGAGTCCTCCGGTGTTACTGAGAATCCGGTTTCCATATTTATGATTTGGAAGAGCCATTCTCCTCTGAAACAGGCAGTTATGGGCCATTCCAAGGACCCGGGAGAATTGTGCTATCGTATTTTTCTTTTCCTTCCAATTTGTCCGTGGAAGGCTCAGTAGGACCCATTTGTTTTCTTTCACTGGTGGCATAATGCCTCTTTATCCTCACAAGCTTATTCCCATTGCATATACATCCAACAGCAAGTAGGACAAAATGTCAAGGAAGAGACTTTGCACACAGAAAAAGCAAAAAGGTAAGTTCATCTGATGATCGTTGGTGTGCACAACCTTCAGAAGGTACGTATGGATTTTTCTGCCAATGCTTTATGGTTCTTTTTTCACATGGGCCAAGTGTTTTCTGGTCAAGAGTAACCAAGACTCTTTCTAGGTTTCTATGATTCTCTTCTGCTTTATCCCAGAGGAGACTGTTTCTCACACTTGGAGAATTTGTTGGTATCTAATGAAGTACTTGGACTGGAATTGGTAGAAAGCCATCTCTTTTTATGACACTAGCTTCAAAGCATGAATACTTGGAGAAATGCATTTTAGATGTTAGTGTATCAACAAATCTCTTGGACTTTCATTCATAGAAGACTTAAGAAAGCAAATCACTTACAGATTCTATTTGACTCATCTTCTTGGGGAGAATGTACAAAGGCTTCTGTTATTAGGTGTGATACGTACATGAGGTATATAGCATCTAAATTGCTAAATGAGATAAGTACATAGAAGCCAAGTGTATTGGATAGGACTGTGAAGTTTGGCTATAAGCTTTTAATAAAACTCAAATAAATATATTAAAATATAAAGTTGAATGAAAGTATTACAATAGGTGTTCCTTCAGGAAAAGATTGTTGTTCTAATTATCTGTAGGACTTTCTCTTTTGGAGTTGACATTAGAGTCAGTTTACCTAGAACCAGGCTCACTGCTTTATTTTGTAAACCGTTGTGTTTTATATTGAATATGGCTCTTCTAGTTGTAATTTTTTTTGTTTCGTCACATAAATACGTTGAGAATAAAGCTTACTGTCTGCTGTCCTGTGCCCTTCCTTATGCTAATGAATTCAAGAAACCCAGTCTGTGTAAGGAGTAGAATGTCATCTTTTGGTGTCACTAAAAGAGTTCAACACGCTTAATCCAGGCTAAGCCATGACTTTGTTGGGAAGGATTAAAAGAAAAGGAAAGGATCAAATAAGTTAAGAAAAGAAGAGAGTGAAAGATAAAGAGCATACTGGAGAAGTGGAATTGAATTGTATGTGGAGGAACATAGGGTCTCTTAATAATTAATTGTTTGGCTGACCTGCATGCTACAAACAGCCTGTCCTTGACCAAAATAATACACATGTGAAAAGCATTGCAAATGAAATGCCATTAATAAAATCAGGCATTTGCTTGACTTTGATTTTGGGAGTACTCTGTAGAATAGCCTGTCTGTCTATCTATCCATCCATCTATCTGTCTACCTATCTATCTTCTACCTGTCATTTATCTATCATTATCATCTATCTGTCTATTTATCATTCTATCTTCTATCATTATTTATCTATCATTATCTATTCATCTCTATCATCTGTCTATGAATCAATCATCTATCATCTATCTATCTATCTATCTATCTATCTATCTGTCTATTGTCTATCATCTATCTATCTATCTATCTATCTATCTATCATCTATCTATCTATCTATCTATCTATCTATCATGTATCTATCTATATATCATTATCTATCTATATCATTATCTATCATTATCTATTATCCATCTCATCTATCTATCTATCATCTATTTATCTATCTATCTATCTATCTATCTATCTATCTATCTATCTACCTATCCTTAATTAGTGAAAATATGCTGATTTATTACTGCACATCCAAGAAAAGCAACTTGATCAACAGGGAAATGGCTTGGTTTCATATTTTCCATAATAGGTATTTAGTTGATAATATCCATGTGACTTTTAAAGCACTAAAGAAGAGTATATGTGTTAGGATTGGGGGTCATTAATTATAACATTGTTTCTAACACTAATGGGCACTGCATATTTATCAAAACTATTTTTGCTTTACAATTCTGAGGTGTTGTCACATAGATATTGCTTCTGGGGGTACAATGTACATCTAAAACTTTAATCTATGGTATGATGCAACAACTCTCGGTGGTTTTCATTTTGTTCCACTATCCTTTGAGTTTGCATGGTGAGTTGATAAATATGGTGGTGTAAATATCATCTCACAAACATGCAATAATCATTAAAGTGTGACACTTTTTCCCGAGCTGATTACTGTGTGTAAGGATGACTCCCTTGTGTGGGATAGAAAAGAAATCATCTGCTTAGAAACTCCAGTATAATTGCTTTACTAACTGCTACTCACAGTTTAAGATATGGTCTTCCATTGCTTTCTGTAAAGGTAAAACCAGGAGGAGTTCCTTCTCTTAAGTCGGCTTTGGGGGCTTTTTGATACTATGAGAAAAAACTTTGAGTTAATGAGGGATTTATAGAAAGACATAGATGTTTGCTAAGTAACATTCATTGAGGACAGTCTTTAGCTCTCCTGAACATGTCAAACTCATCTTTGTATCAAACCCCTCCCTGCTCAGTCAGTACCCTCTGAGGTCCAGCTGATAACACTTGTGTTTTGTTGAAGAACAACAAAAGAAATGAAACTTAGTAACATACTAGGAAACTTAGTAACTCTTTTTAATATAACATTTCCATTGATCTTTTTGAGAATTTAATACAAGTGTACAATGTATTTTGGTCATATTCACTTCCAACTGCATCCTGTAAGTCCCCCCAGGTTCATTCCCAAGCCCTCCTAGCTTTGCACCTTCTTCTAACTTATAGTTCACTTTGTCCAGTTTGTGCTTCCTATGTACTTACTCATAGGTTGGATGTAGATCCATCCATTAGAGTATGACTAGCATTCCATGGGGATCAGCGTAAAGAAAACAGATTCCCACCCCCTAGAAGCCAGCAGCTAGAGTAGCTTCCCTACTAATGTTCTCCTTTCCCCTCCATTCTAAAATACAGTTCTTACAGAGACTTCTTTTTTTGGGGTGGGGTGGGGGGTGGGGTATTGAATTTTCTATGGAATTGCAAATCAAGACCAGGAGCCTGGGAGATTCTAGCGTACTTCCATCATTATACTGTGAGGAGAATTGAGAGTCCTTTTACCACATTGTGTGACAATGCTACTCCCAATAGAAGCTTACTGTGGATTCTCTCTCTCTTCTACATTGCACAAAATCTGTATCTTTTCCACATAGCTACATATGTTGTCATTTCTAGAAACTTCGTGAGAACATCAATATCGAGCCTCGCACATCTCTCCTTTCCTATGTTCTTAACCACTTACCATGTTCGCAACAGCCGTTTGGAGTTGAGTCGATTCTCAGATCGTGTTGTTACATTAGTGCTCCGGAGATACATGAGAACAACCCAGGCATATAAGCAAGCCCTGAGCACACACACCTTGGTTGCCTGGGTTAGGAATGAAGCATTTATATTGGCTTTGTGGGATAAGAAGAAGGGAATTAATGTGGGGCCCCAGGTTCTCCCGTGCTATACTGCTAACTGTACATTGCAGGCTCCTTGGTGGAGAAATTGCTGGGTTCACACCGGCATGTGATAATAGATGTTCTTTGTGTTCAGCAGATCAATAGCGAGCCGCTGTGGATCGTGCAGATAGCGGAGTGCGCGGCCCCTTTTCAGGCAGTTCTCTGCAGGAGTGGCTATTAAGCTGCGCCGCTGGCTATTGATTGGCCTTTTGCTTTTTATTTATTGTGTTGATCTATTTATTTTTTAATGTAGGTTGATGTATTGATTAAGACTGTTAAAAAAAGCACTTCCCACTTAGTTTGGAAAAAAAAACAGCAATAACTACATTATATAGTACGCAAACAAGTGGGTAGAAGTATGTATATTAATTCAGTCTCTAGGCTTTTTATGCATACATGAGCATCACACTTTTATGGAGCATTTGTGTGTTTAGCTAGGTGTTTCCACACCTCCGTATTCTCTTTCTGTCCATCCAACCTTATTTAAGTTTACTCGTAAGGCAATTTTTTTGTTGTTCAGAATGTTCTTCATCTTTTATTAACTAGCCAGATATTTCCTATTCATAGGCATGG